TTATACCGATCCTTTGAGATGGGGATTACTTTATAAGCACAAAGAGATTAAATACTTTGTCTTGAATTACAAATCCAGCAAGTGGTGGAGTGGGGTTTGAAACTGGAAAATCTGATTCTAGCCCATCTACACTAGAGTCTCTCAAGTTACTAGGTGGATCACTCAAAAAAGCAATGAAACTTCAATAAGAAATGAACAATAATGTAAATTGTGAAGTATATGGGATGATGCCTGGGTGGCTCAGTCAGTTAAGTGTCCGATTTCGACTCAGGTCATGATCTCGTGATTTGTGAGCTTGGGTCCCACGTTGGGCTCTGTGCTGACAGCTCAGAGCCTGAGCCTGCTCCAGAAGATTCTGTGCCTCCCTCTCTCTCTGCTCCTCCCCCCAACTCATGCTTTCTCTCTCTCTCTCTCTCTCAAAAATAAATAAGCATTAAGAAAATTATGAAGTATGTCACAAAAATCACTTCCTCTTCATTGGTGGAACTGGAAAAGAAAATTTTAAAGTTTTGCAAATAATACCTAATAAGAAAGTTGGAAACGTGGCCCTTGTGATCTTATCTGAAAGTACACAAAGTGCACACAAAAATTTATCAGTGCCTTTGGTCTATGCTTTGTTCCCTTCCTGATTTTGTCACTTTTCTCAGGGAAATATTAACAAAATCTCCTACAGCATCTCCTCGAAAAAAATGGTTTACCCAATAGATTCTTGAAATTCTGTAGAGGAGCACTGGAGGCTAATTAATTGGTTGCTTGCCTTATTTAACTTTTATTTTCTCTCCAAGGCACAATGCTGATGTTCTTAAACCTAATTTTGTGCAACTTGCACCAGAGATAGTCTGGCCTCATATACTTAGGAAATAGGATGTCCTCAATTGAAAGGGCCCTGTACGTTTCATACTATTCTACTCTTTCAACTTCTCTTTCTCCAAAGTTTCTTTTCTCTTCTTGACAAGTTCCTTAAACCTGCTACTCAATTCTTCTTTTCTGCTTCTTCTCATATCCTTGTTCACTTCCTCAAAAGTAAAATTAGAGCCATTCCCCAAGGCCTCTTCCATGATCCTGTATCTTTAATTCCATTTAGAATTTGTTTTAATGTTTATTTAGTTTTGAGTTTAATTTCATTGTAAGTTGGCAGCTCCTTGAGTTAAATTCCCATATCCAGACTCTGAGTTCCTAGAACAAGTTCTTTATTTCTCTCTCTGCCTTTCTTTCATTTTTTTCCACATCATAGTTTTTGTTATATATTCATTTGTCTTTTTCAAGTTTTTGTTCCACTCTTCTGATCCTTTCATTATTTTTGCCTATTTGGCTGGAAAGACTGAACAGCCCCTTTCTGCTTTTCATTTTCTGTGTGATCCAAGTTAAAGAAAGTATTGATTTTAAGCCCAATCTCCTTTTTCTCTCTCTTCATTCCCCAAGGTTAGAGTCTTTGCTTCTGTTGGCTTATGAAACCCTGTTTCTTCTTGGATGATTGTAGAACACTAGTTATCTGATTGACCTAGGGGACAATCCTAAATAAATATATCTGACCTTCCCATTTCTTCTACCCTTATGCTGATATTCCAGGATTGAGGTGGTATGGGGGATAGAAAGCAGGCGCTTTTTTTTTTTTTCCAAATCTCCACATGTGATTTTTCTTCTGTGACCTTCCAACTTGCAGTCCTGCCTCTGATTGAGATCCTCCACTCTAGTAGTAGCTTCCACTTCCGGAGTGAGAAACAGACTCATTTGGGGCACCTGGGTGGCTCAGTCAGTTAAGTGTCTGACTTTGGCTCGGGTCTTGATCTCATGGTTTGTGAGTTCAAGCCCCACCTTGGGCTCTGTTCTGACAGCTCAGAGCCTGGAGCCTGCTTCCAATTCTGTGTCTCCCTCTCTCTTTGCCCCTCCCCAATTCTCTCTCTCTCTCTCTCAAAAATAAACCAACATTAAAAAAAAAGAAACAGATACATTTGTTAAGGCAGCCACTTGCTAGTTGATGAATGGGCCATCAGTTCAGTAAACAGCGAGTGGAATGCTTCTGGGGGCAAGATGTGAGTGGCTCATGGAAGGGTTCAAAAACTCCTTTTCCATCTGTGGCAGAGTAATTCACTTGCTTGATGCAAGGATTAGGGTTGGGCCGAGATTCATTTTACTATTACACACTGTAATGAAACTTACTTATATTTTGATTGAGTAACTTAAAATAAATAGCTGTTCTGGGTTCATATCAGATCGAGCATCTAACTCACATGTAGATACTGCCCCCAATTCTCCAAGGATTGGAAGTTTACTGAGTCCAAAGAAAACTACTGAAACAAGTGTCCTTCAAGCAGTATCTAGAGGTTGGCTACAAAGAGACAACAGATAAAAGAATGAAAAATCACATTTACTTATTGGCCTGATAATGATTCAGATTGTGAAACTGATGACCAGAGTTTAAACAAGATTTTGATTATAGCTGAGAAAACATCCTGGATGAGATCAAATGAAACCACAAGTCTTGGGCAAATATTACTTCTAAATTTGCTAAAGTTACCAATGACAGTTTATATTATTATAAACAGGATTCATGCATGGAAAAGGATGAAAACAAACACACAGCCATAAAGAACTTGATGAGATGATTCATATGGGAATTCAAGGTACCCAGCATTGCCAAAATAATCTTGAAAAAGAAGAACCAAGTTGAAGGATTCACATACTCTGATTTTCAAACTTAATATAAATGTTTACACTTAAATGTAGGAGCTTAATATAAATGTTTACGCTTAAATGTAAGAGCTTAAAACTATACAGCTCAGAAGAAAACATTGGCATAAATCCTTGTGAACTTGGATTAGGCAATTGTTTCTTATATGATACCAAAAAGACAAGTGACAAAAGAAAAAATAGTATACTGGAGCTTAGGGAACATTACAACTTTTGTGTTTCAAAGCACACCATCAAAAAAGGAAAAAGACAACCCAGAAAATGGGAGAAAACATTTGCGAATCATATATGTGATAATGGACTTGTAACTAGAATCATGAAGAACTCACATAAGTTGCTAATAAAAAGACAAATAACCTAATTTTACAAATGGGCAAAAGAAGATATACAAATGGATAATAGCACATGAAAAGATGGCTGACATCATGGGCCACCAAGGAAATGCAAATTAGAACCACAGTGAGATACTACCTGACACCTACTAGGATGGCTATAATCAAAATGACAGATAGTAACAAGTGTTGACAAGGATGGGGGGAAATTAGACCCCTAAAACAGTGCAACTACTTTGCAAAATAGCCTAGACGTTCCTCAGAAGTTTACATATAGAGTTACCACATGACCCAACAATTCCAATGTTAGGTATACAGCTAAGAGAGATGAAAACATATGTCCAAACAAAAACTTGTACATGAATGTTCATAGAAGCACTGCAAAAGTAAAAAGAACTCAAATGTTCATCAACTGACAAATGGATAAGCAAAATGTGGTAGGTCCATGTAATGGAATATTATTTGACAACAAAAAGAAATGAAGTACTTGGGTGCCTGGGTGGCTTAGTTGGTTAAGCATCTGGCTTTGGCTCGGGTCATGATCACACAGTCCGTTAGTTTGAGCCCCAAGTCGGGTTCTGTGCCGACGACTCAGAGCCTGGAGCCTGCCTCAGTTTCTGTGTCTCCCTCTCTCTCTGCCCTTCCCCCACTCACACTCTGTGTGTGTGTGTCTCTCTCTCTCTCTCAAAAATAAAACATTAAAAAAAAATGAAGTACTAATACATGCTATGACATGAAAACATCATGCTAAGTGAAGGAAGCCAATCACAGGGACCACATATTGGGCGCTTCCATTTATAAGATACGTCCAGAATAAGGAAAGCCACATAGACATGGGGTTGTTGGGGTGGAATGGGGGTAGGATAAACATTAGCTGCTAATCGCTACCAGGTTATGGTGATGAAAATGTTCTAAAGTTGATTGTGGTGATGGTTGCATCGTTCTATTTATACAATAAAACCACTGAATTGAAAACTTTTTAAATTTTTTAATGTTTATTTTTGAGAGAGAGAGACAGAGCATGAGTGGGGGAGGGACAGAGAGAGAGGGAGATACAGAATCCGAAGCAGGCTCCAGGCTCCCAGCTGTCAACACAGAGCCTGATGTGGGCTCAAGCTCATGAGCTGTGAGATCATGACCTGAGCTGAAGTTGGAAGCTTAACTGACTGAGCCACCCAGGTGCCCCTGAATTGAACACTTTAAATGGATGAATTCTATTACATGTGAATTATATCTTGATAACGCTATTATAAAAAAAACAACAACACCGCCATTCTGTCGGTATAGAATAAATCCCTTAAAAATTAGTTCTGAAGACCCTTTCCTGCATAGAACCTCACAGCAACTCCAATGACAGCCCGCTGTCATCCATGCTGGTGGATGTTACAGTAGCATCTGGAGGAAGTTTAAGGAAAAGGGACGAATTAAACAGAGTATAATTGAAAACTACCTCTTTCAGGTTACAAAGAGTTTCTATTCTTAGTAGCAAGATTTTCTTCCTCAGCTTTCTTACTTCTGCTTTGTGAATTATAATATATCAGAAAAAGAGAGGAAAGAGTGGGAATGCTATTCCATCATGGTTTGGGGCAAAGAAAATGAACTTTTGCATCAGACAGACCTGTGTTCAAATCCTGACTCAGCTCATTGCAGGGCAACAGATGACAAAACTACTCAGCTAACTGTGGAGCCACGGCTGAGAGAAACTTGAACTCTGTTTTGTCACACAGAGCCTAGGGATAATTTGCCATCTACTGCTTAGCTGGCTGGTATCCATGGGCCCTTCTTTTGCTGTCAGTATCCAGAAATGTCTTTGGGGGGAAATATCTTCAGTTCTTTCCTATCTGTTATTTTGATTTCCTTCCCGATTTTCCATATATGTGCCTCTAGCCTGGCTGATCAGCACATTCCATGCTTCAGGGATGGAAACAAATCAACTTTGGCCACTGGGATTAAGCGTAAAACCTTTGTTTGAATTACTGAAGTGGAGTTCTCTCCGCTGCTGTTGTTGCGGAATTGAATCCGAATTGTCTGGAGCTGCTCCACCTTTGTGCCCATGTGAAGCCGGAGAGTGTGGCCAGCATGGAGATGACAGAGTGGAGAGATGCAGAGGGCCTGGGCCTGGGGGACATCATACATGGCCCTTGTTCAAAGCATGGCAGCATCAGCCCTAGACTTTTCAGTTACATAACTTGATCCCTCTTAAGCTTGGACAAGTGTAAGTTGACTTGTCAATTACCTACGTCCACATGAATCCTAAGAGTGACACGACCACTGCTCTAGTGAGTACAGCTGTGTAACAAATGACCCCAAAACTTCATAGTTTAAAACCAGAAAATATTTGGTTTTAAACAAGAAAACATTTGTTTTGGCAAATCTGGGCAGAGATGGGAGGGACTGGCTTATTTCTGCTCTAGGTGGTGCCAATTGTGGTGGTTTGAAGACTGAGGGCTGGAATTATCTGGAGGTTTACTCACTCACATGTTTGGTAGCTTGGCTATGAAGACTCAGCTGGGACTGAAGAAGATCCTTAGGTCTCTCTCTTCTCTCTCTCCCTCCCTCCAAGGTCTCTCCATGTGACCTTTCCAGCTTGGCCACTTTAGGATAGCTGAAATTCTTACATTCAGCTGAGGGCTGAATGCACATGTCCCAAGGGGACAAAGAGCTGAGGAAAGGTCTTTTGTCTTTTGTGCCCTAGCCTCAGAAGTCACACAGGGTCACAGCCATCATAGTTCCAGGCCTACCCAAATTCCCAAGGAGCAAACAGGACCCCACCTTTTGGTGGAGTCAATGTCATACTACAAGATGAACATATGGGTTGAGATGTACTGGTATGGCCATCTTTGAAAATACAATAGGCCATACTTTGTGGGATATTTGTGAAGATTAAATGAGCAATATTTCAAAAGACTACATGACAAAAATAAAATATAGAACTGAAGACCCGAATGGGCTGAATGGCCCCTAAGGAGAACAGTGTGAATGAGAAATAAGTCTCGGGTCACATCAGGAAAATACTAGTGAGGACATATCCAAGAGGAAGTTGAGTGGAAAAGATAATTAGCCAAGTTTGATCATGTTGGGCTTTCAGGGCAAGATACACAGACACTTGAGAAAGGAATGTGAAAATAACATTTATGTCATAAATCTGCTATTGTTTCTGCATATGTTAGTATTTCTGATTAAAATTGTGTATTTACATATTTTTGCAATCATGCCTGAGTAATAAGAGAGGGTGGGGGCGGGTGCTTGGGTGGCTCAGTTGGCTGAGCATCCAACTTCGGCTCAGGTCATGATCTCATGGTTCGTGAGTTCAAGCCCCATGCCGGACTCTGTGTGCTGACAGCTCAGAGCCTGGAGCCTGCTTCGGATTCTGTGTCTCCCTCTCTCTCTGTCCCTCCCCTGCTCACACTCTGTCTCTCTTTATCTGTCAAAAATATGAAAAAAAAAAAAAAGAAGGAGGGTGGGGCACTCTCTCTTGGCGTGTGACATTTTACTCTATGAATCTCATGACCAGAGCAAGCTGCCAACATCAATGTTTCTAAAATGTATCTTCAATACTTTTTTGAGAAGTCAATATAAGTATTTTGGAAGTTAATGCTATAGAGTTAAAGTTACAGAATATCAGCCAATGTTATATACTCATATAAAATATGAATCAGATTATTGCCTAAGATTAAAAAAGAATGGTAAAATGAGTGAACCCACAGCAAACCTGAAATTTCCTGATGAGGCAATTGCAATTAAATTGACTAAGTTATAGGATTAACAGACCCTTTTAGATGTGAAGTCTAAAATAATCCACAGGGACTAGTTCTCAGCTTTTGTGGCTTCTTTGTGGGACAGAATAGAGGGAGTTGGTTGCAGTCTTGACTTTTGTGGGGGAGGGTGTCCAAGTTCTTTCATAATCAGACCAAAGTTCTGGACCTTCTTCTCAGAGTTGCATAGACACAAACATTTTCCATATGATATTAATGGTATGGTTCATGAGTCCAAGTTTAAAACTCCTGGACCCCTCACTTTCTCTTTTTTTTTAATTAAAATATTTATTTATTTATTATTATTTTTTTAATTTTTTTTTTCAACGTTTATTTATTTTTGGGACAGAGAGAGAGACAGAGCATGAGCGAGGGAGGTCAGAGAGAGGGGAGACACAGAATGGAAGCAGGCTCCAGGCTCCAGCCTCAGTGGCCGAGCAGGCTGAACTCCGCAGACAAGGCCGTGAGACTGATGGGCTTAACCGACTGCGCCACCCAGGCGTCCCTAAAATATTTTTTTAAATGTTTATTTATTTTTGAAACAAAGACAGAGACAGTGTGAGTGGGGGAGGAGCAGACACAGAATCTAAAGCAGGCTCCAGGCTCCGAGCTGTCAGCACAGAGCCTGACGTGGGGCTTGAACTCACGAACCATGAGATCCTGACGTGAGCCGAAGTTGGTTGCTTATAACTGACTAAGCCATCCAGGTGTCCCTGTTTTTCTTCTAAATTCTGTGACTGAGGATAGTTGCTTTTAGCACCACCTTCCTCCTTTCTCAGCTTTGGAAGAAATCGAAGCCCTCTTGAGCTCACCATCAGTTCTCTGACCCAGGGCCAGCTACATGAGGTTTTATCTGGCAAGAGCCTCACTCTTGATTTAATGCTCTATTGTCACCATCTCGACATTCTTATTTTTTGGACAAGGAGCCCATATTTTCAGTTTGTGCTGGGTCCCACAAATGATGTAACTGGACTTGCTCTGGCCACCTGCTGAGTCTGTACTCTCCCTTTTTACATGCTGGAGAAGCAGTCATCTGGTCTCTGCGTGTGCTCACAGAGCAAGTAGGAACTGGACAGTTTTGGGGGCAGCCTATGTCAATCCTGGAATCTACCCCTCTATAACTGTGCCCACTGATTAGTCTTCTGTGTCTTGCGTGATAAGTTTCTTTTAACAATAAGAATGTTTTGCATATTTGAAGACAGCTACAATTCTTCACCACCATGGAAAAAATCTAATAATGAACTGAATCCTCCCTTGTTTGGTTGATCCACGGAGGAAGAAAGGCTGTCAAAAGCTCACATGAGATGAAAGATTATCCAAAAGGGCCAAATACAAAAAGGAAATAAAATGATTAGGATTGATGCCCTAGGATGTAAAATCAGGAAAGAAAATTAAAGAGGAACAGCAGGGTTTATATTTCTGAAATGGAAACAAGCATTAGGTTTTTGTGGGTTTTTTTCCCATCATAAAAAAAGCCCCAAAGAATGAACTATGCTAATGCAATCTACTCTCATTCTGAAATTGGTAGTGTCGAGGAACATATCCCTTTTTTTCTTGGTAAGAGTGACTGAGTTTGGTTATTTCTGAGGCTTTGTTTTTAAGTAACTCAAGCAAATAAACAAGAATGAACAGGCTTTAGCATCATCATGCCAAACTATGTTTATGTATTTATGAACTTCTTAGGGAGAAACTTTGATTTTACTTACTTCTTTTCTTTTCTTTCTTTTCTTTTTGTTTCTTTCCTTCTCTTTTCCCCTCCTTTCCTTCCCTTTCCCATTTTTCCTTCCCTTCCCTTCCCTTCCCTTCCCTTCCCTTCCCTTCCCTTCCCTCCCCTCCCCTCCCCTCCTCTACACTCCCCTCCCCTCCTCTCCCCTCCCCTTCTTACCAGTGTTTTGTTCATCTGCATAATCTATACATAGTACAGTGCCTGGCACACAGAAGTATGTTGTAGTGTATGTTTCTGTGTCTGGAGAGAGAGGACACAAGTGTGCAAAGATGATTCTCTGTGCTGGGGGCTTAGAGGGGCCAGTCCCAAGTACCGCATACCTAATGGCTCCCTTCACTGGGCATTAGTTCTGATCAAGTGGGAGGCAGACAGGTGCAGACGTTGAGAGGAGATCTCGAGACAGCTTTAAGGATGGCTTTTTCCTTTTTATATGGTCTTCATTACAAAGAGAGAGGCAGAACCTGCTGTTAATATGCTTACTGAAAGTGTTTCTGGGCACGTAAATTTGGACTCGTATTTTAAGTTGTGCCATCCCCCCACCTAAATTCTGCATTTTCAAAATAGTCTCCTCTTTGTTGTAAAATTTATACATAAGGTCTGGCCAGAAACTTATATCCTATTCATTCTTTCTTCCAGTTATCTCTTAGTGATTTTATAATTTTAAAATGTTTTAACGAATTTTATTTTATTTTTTTTTACTAGGTATTATATGGGTCCAAATGTAAAAATATAAGAGTAGACAGTGAAAAGAGTTCCTCTAACCATTGTACCCTGACCATTCAGCTTTCCTGCAGGCAACCAGCATTACTGGTTTCTCGTCGATCCTTTCTTAATTTTTTTGTGGGAGCCCAAATGATTAAATCTCAATTCATTTCCATTTTGCTCAGAATGGGGCTGTTATTAACATTGTTTTGTGTGTGTTGGGCGGGGGAGGGTAAGGACTTAGCCTACTCTCCTTTTTTATGATTTTTCTGCTTTGATCTCCTATCTTCAGACTTGTAAAATTAGCCCTGAGCAGCCAGTAATCCATTACCATTGCACTCTTTATCTCTGGGTCCCAAAAGACCGTATCTAGAATGTAACAAAGTCTTTTCATGAAGCCGGCATAAAGCAAATATTACTGTATTAGGGTAGGACCACTCTGAGTTATTTTCTATCCCTCTCTCTGATATTATTAATCTTCAATCACTATAGCAAAATGTTTCTCTGGCAAGATACCAAGAGATAAAAATCTTAGCTCACCCCTTATTCAATTTAGTGAGCTGTCTCTTTCTTGTTTCCCACCCTTCTGTAATCGGAAAGAATGTTGCTTTTTCAAAAACTTCCCAGCTGGGGCTCCTGGGTGGCTCAGTCAGTTAAGCATCAGACTCTTGGTTTCAGCTCAGGTCATAACCTCATGGTTCGTGAGTTCAAGCCCCACATTGGACTTGAGGAGCCAGCTTGGGATTCTCTCTTCCTTTCTCTCTGCTCCTCCCCTCCTTGCACACGCGCGCGCGCACACACACACACACACAAACTCTCTCTCTCTCTCTCTCAAAAGTAAATAATAAAAAATAAAGAAACAGCAACAACAGAACTAAACTTCACTACCAAACAATGATTCAGAGTTCCTAAACCTGCCTATGAAGAGAACTCTCTATACTGCATTTCTCTCT